TCATCAAACACATCAAATTTCAAAACGATTTTACATAAAGTTTGTTTATTCGTTTTCAACAAACTATAAAAGAGAAATTATTGATAATGGCGACGTGGAACATCGACCCAAACAAATTGGCCCAGGACAGATACAAAAACAACAACACAGAACTTCTCAATAATCTCACAACACAAGCAAACAAAATATCTATCACTTTCTCAGAACTGATTTCTAAAATTAAAGTTTTCAACACAACTGTTGACTCATACAGAGCATCCATTCCAAGATCTTCATCACATGTGTCATTTTTCCATCTCCTCTTGTCATCTTCTCAGATCAATAAAAGATTTATCAAACTTTACGAATCAAACGTTTGTTTATATTCTATTTTTCGTTTTTGTTTTTTAAACTAATATTTTATTGTTCTAATAAAAAATAATTCATTCATTAAAAAAATACAAGGTGAGAAAAATACTATAGTTTTATTATATTTATACTATATAGAATATATAAAAATATATAAATTTTGTATAATTATATTTTATTATACGGTATAGTTAAATATATTATAGTATAATATATTATTATAATAACTATCAGGCCGAATGCTTCACAAATTTTTCACAATTTGGGCACTCGAAGTGTTGGAAAGAAGAAACGAGTCCAGTTGAAGACATCACACTACAGCAGAACTTTTTTGTGTCGAATATTCAACTGTTCACATCTTTTTCGACATTTTTAGTCTCGACGATTTCAATGATTCAAGCGACAAAAGATGTTACTGCGAAACTTGAGATGGAGGATTTCAGTGAATTGCAAAAGGTCTCCGAATCTCTTTTGAATGAGAGAACCACTTTAGTTAATGTGGAGTATGAGAACACTGATATTCAATATGACGTGGAAAGCCAATACATGCCACCATCTATATATAAATGTATGTACACTTTATATTTCACACCAAGACCTTTGGAAGGCGTTTTTAGATGTTGTGCTGAAGCAAAGGCACTTCCATGGTATAATAAACTTATTGGTGGGATGGACTATCAATGTGTCAAAACAAACGTATTGACTGGCGTCATAAGAGACTATGTCAAACAAAGTGGTTCACTTTGGCAAACAAACGTTCTGTCACCCTTACTTGAAGTTACTAGTTTGTTAGTTTTACTATTTAATATAATAATTAATTAGTAATAATACTATTAGTACTACTAATAGCATAGTTTATTATATCAATTTATCGTATAATAATAGTTTTATAAGTAATAGTAATAATACTAATAATTATAATAATCATATTTTAACTGCAAGAGAAGTACACCGGAGACGACAATGTGTGGGTAGAAGAAGTTGAAAGGATGACGTGCGAACTTCCG